ATATATATATATATATATATAAATATATATATATATATATATAAATATATATTTTAATCTGGGGTGGCACAGACTTCTAATTTACAATCCATCCTGCAACAGATGCAGTGACAAGTCTTATAGAGAGTAACTTTTTAGTTTAAAAGATGCATAAAATTTGAATGTGTTGAGGCAGTATAGCTAAACTAAGTTTACCTGAAGTAGTGAGAAGATGTAAAGTGTGAGAAGATTCCTGCCTTTCATTATATTTAGCTCTGCTCAACAGCAGCAGTTCCTCTTCTGCCAAAAACACTTTATTATAGCTAATTCAATTAAACAGTGACATCTGCTGGACGACCTTGGGTACTACACATACACGTTGCCTGTTCGAGTGAAAATGAATCAATTTTCTGTTTGAGGTTTTGATGCAGTTGGTTAATTATTCAGACTGAAATCTTTAGAGAGGATTTGTTTTTTTAAGAATTCAAATCCATTTTTTGCTGGTTATGTATTATTCTTGCATGAAGCAAACATTTTTAGACTGTTTAATCCTCCTGAAAGGTCCTAAATAATTTTTTATCATAAAGATAATCTTGTTCTAAATATTTTTTTCAAACAGAAGTTGAAAACTTCTGCTTATGTGCAACATAACTTAAAAAAAAAAAAAAAAAAAAAAAATATATATATATATATATATATATATATATATATGAGTCAACTTAGCAGTAACGTGTCAATACAGTAACACAATATAAAATGAAAGGGCAGTAGAACAAAAGTTAGGTTTTAGAAATATTTTAACTCAGCAGGCCTGATTTTCTAAAACAATTAGGTTTTCTGCTCAAAGACTGCAATCTTTGAACAACCTCATAAGCAACTAAAATGTCTGATAGGTAAATGTATGAGGAACAATAGATCAATATTAAAAATTTAACCTTAACCCCACATTCACTGAAATGTCTTTAAACATTTGTCATTCTGTTTTTCACTTTCACATTTTGTGAGATGCCATCATCTCAATACAAATGGCACTAAACATGCTTTAAAATACTAAAATAAATAAAAAGTACCTTGTTCTTGATATTTTACAAGTATAGCAGATCCATTCTGATTCAGATTAACTTCAGGCTCATCCAACAGCAGATGTCTGAGATTTCCAAGACTTCCACTCAGTTCACTGACTTTAGGACAGCAGGACCACAGCACAGCCAGGGGCACAGAAACGTGTCTAAAACCAGGGAAAATAACCAATCAGCTCTACAAATACATTAAATGCCAGCGTCACCGTTTAAGAATTTGTCTTTTATGTACTGAGACACATCCAGATAAAATGAAGAGACAAGGATCTGCTACAAATGACCTGACATGATACCATCCATCCTCTTTACTTTGAGAGGAAACCCACTGTCTTATTGTGCCAGGCTCTTGTTGTTTTGGTTCATTTGTCCAGAGCGTTTCATCATACCCCTGTTCCTCTTCGTCACCTCTTCCACTACAGTCCACGGGACTATCCATCTCATCTTCACATGCTGACAGGAAAAAAGTTTCATATAATTAAAACAAGTCTTTCCCAGTTTAAATCAGGATCTCATGCAATTTTCTGTGAACACTTTCACTTTTACATGCCTGTCTTTCTCCCCTCCATCTCCCCTCCATCTTCAGTCGGACAATGTGTAAAGTCATCGTTTCTCTCACCACTCTTCTCCTGAATCCATCTGTTCTTTAACTGTTCTGCCCAGTACAACACTTCACTTACTAGAACTCTGCGTAACGTGTTGTTGTCATGAAGGCTGGGGTAGTTTACTGAGTACAGCTGAAAGACGAGGACACAAATCAAGGTAAGTATCGGGAAAGCATGTGCTACCAAGGAAACTTTTAATAATAAACTGCAGAACTACAGCCATTACTGACCACACAATATGAAGTGACAAAATATAACTCTATTACTTTTTATTTTCTAAACTGCTCACTATTAGCATCACAGAACAACTCTACTGCCTTTGCATAATAATGAACAGAAAATAAAAAACATTGTGCACTCACCAATGTGTAAGAAAAAACATTCTCCTCATCATCGTGAGGTAACGCACTGCAGCAGTCTCCGACCTTGAGGCGGTAAAACACGCCAATCTGAGAGCAGAAACCGACACTGTCCTGCTGGCCAGGCGGCGCCTCACCAACACCAGTGAACTCCACCTCATAGCCATATTCAAAACACACCTTTAGAGCCCTGAGGAACGCCACAGAAAATATAAAAATGAGAGGTGCCAAGATTCAAAGTGATGATTGGTAGCACTCCAAAACAACAAACTTTTTTTTTTGGACAATGAACCTGAAATCAAAGAGCCACTCTTGTTTGCTGACGGATGACATGCAAACATTACCCTGACAATTAAGACATTTACAATACAGGCTAAAAAGTAAAATGTACTTATAAAGTATAAACTGAACAGAGTGTTTATTTTAAAACTATGCCAGTTTCATTGAAAAGGAATGCTAGCACAGTCGCTAACATCAAGTGATGTATAAAATAAAAAAAATAAAAATCAAATTTAAGCTCTTCTGCTAATCGCAACTTAATTATTTTAGGTGCACTGTGTTCAATAATAACATATAATGTTAGTTTAGTGACTATTTGTAAAATAGTCAAACTGTGTACTGTACCAGGATTTGAACTCTGCTCTGTTCCACTCGAACTTGTGATCACTGTGCCTGAAACCTGACAGTCCAGGCAGAAGGACATTGAATTCGGAGTTTGGGGTGCTAATGATGACACTCGCCGGGGTCATGTAACCAAAAACCACTGCAGAGAAGTGCTCCAAATCAGGAAGAGTGAGGTGCTCTATGCTGCAGAGTCACGGGGGAAATATGCATTTTGGCAGACACATGTAGAGAACAGTGAGAAAACATAATATTGATGATACATAGCAATGTGAACGAATAAAACAGCCGCTTACAGCTCTATGCTGGTCACCAGATCAAATCCTCTCAGGCGAGCATCCCTTTGTGTCACTGAGCCTTGGTACAGCTCTACACACAGCTGATCATAAGTCGGCTGCAGATAATCAGTGGATAGAGGACCTAACCCATGCCTGAAGAGTATGAGAACAGACTAAAGATTGCTGCTATAAAAGGTATCGATACAATATTAAATGAATCTTCTTCTTTTGTCTCTTCAGGGGTCGCCACAGCAAAGTAACTCGCACAAAGACTTGGCAATTGTTTTTATGCCGGATGACCTTCCTGAAGCGACCACAGCCCTCTGTGTGGGGCAGAGAGCTGCTATCTGGGGTGCCCGGGGGAGAAGATGGTGGGGGCCTTGCTCAGGGGCCCAGGGAGGGCTCAGTCCAGGGGGTTGAGCCAGGAACCTTCCGATCACAGGCCCACCTTGTTTCTGCACCACGATTCCCCAATTAAATGGATATTAAACAATATTAATGGATATTAAATGACTGAAGAGTCAAATTGCAAGTGGGGGTTCAGTTAATTGTTCAAATCCACTTAAAAAATTGTTAAGGAAAAAAAAATAATAATTAGAAAATTAGATTTGTGAGCAATAAAAAAACTAGCCTAGTAATATTTAACCAGCATTTTCACTTTACATACATCTTTTTCTTCATCTGGGCACCGTTGATGTCCAGTCCAACCAGCAGCTCAATCTCCCGGTGAAACCGGAGCTGTTGCAGGAGTCTGCACTCACTGCAGCCCAAGTCAGCCACCTGAGGGGGAAATCAAGGCAAGATGCAATCTCAAGGACAGATTGTACAAATAAATATGTTACTGAATCAGTCAGAATCGCGCCCAGTGACAAAAACAACTGATTTATTTTACAAAACGTTAAGTAGCAAAGTAACGTCCAGGTGTGCAACACGTGATTAGCTTGAGCAAACGTGCAAGGTGTTTAAAGTGAATGTATGTCTGAATTGTTCAGCTATAACTACCCTTCTGGGTTTGTTCTTTTTGACAAAATCGACGACAAACTCGTGTCTTTGCCTGTGAAGCGGAGGGCTAAAGATGTGGCTCATCTTCGTCTGATTTCAACGTCGATTCACTCCGCCGAGCGCGAGAGGGCGCTCTTATTATCTTGTGTTGTCGCGCGCTGCCCGAAGAAGATGGAGAAAAATAACATTACTTTATAACTTTTAGTACCATTTGACTATTGTTATTTTAACAGTGAGTGAGACTGGTTTTGAGACTGAGCGTGTTAGTTTTTTGAAATAACGCTTTAAGTTTGATTTTGTTGTTTAATGTGAGCCATAGTGTGATAAAAGTATACAGTACTGTAATTTTGAGAAAACAAAAGTTATTTATTCATTATATATATATATATAT